TTGGCAGCAAAATCAATTGGGAGATGCAAACACAATGGTATCACCATGGTTTGGGTGATCTTTGTTTCGTGTTGAAAGAGAAATACATCCATGTTGGAAAACAACGGGTCTTCGGGAGAACAAGACTGACAATCACAACAACTTCGCGCATCGTAGGATATGAATCTTCTGCATCACACACATCCCCATGGTTTGTTGATGGGCATCATGTTTTGAGTATTTTGACTTAACTGGGGGATAGATGTGTGGACTCGCACCCAAAAGACTTTCTTGTTGGCACACGACTCCCGAGCGGAGCTGAGAAAGCACTGGCTTTGAATCCCGGAGGCATTGGATTTTTTCGAGGCACACGGTTTGCAGCTATTGACCGATCCAATCTTCACATCAACTGGGACGACCGTTTTCCGTTTCGACTCCTGTCGGAACTGGTTCCGCAGCCGGGTCACACGGAGGCGAAGGGGAACAGTCGAGGCTGAGCGCAAGGCTGTGATATGAGCTCTTAAATGTTCGTCCAACAGCATGTTGATGCAACAGCAGCATAAGCGGGAGCTTATGAGGTATAGGTGTGTAGGTCAAAAGGATGCATGTACGGGTGCAAGCATGGTAGTAAGCTTAAGACTTAAGGCAACATTATAATTAGTGATTCATTGTGTTAGATTGCTTGCTTGCACACCAGCTTTGTGCAGGTGCGTCAGCATGGATGATGCAGGGGCAGCTTTGCGTATAAGTGCCCTTTCCCGGTCCTTTCCCCATAGTTCTGCGGGGTCCTAAAGGATATCTTATGATGTGTTCTTTGCATCCCACGGTAATCCATCCCACCTCTTCGAAAGGCCGGTCAGAGTGCCGACGGCGGTCATCCGCACGGCCGCCAGAAGCCTTCGTCGCCTTGCCGACCCAGGATCCTGTGGGCTACACTCGTGACGGCCACTCGGTGTTCATCCTTCAGCACCAAATTCTGTGTGGTGGCAAGAGCCAATGGGTGATGTCTGATGTCTTTACAAAAGATGGGTGAATCCCACCAAAAAGACAGTGCGGGCCAGTGTGAACTTTCATTTATATACGTAATTATTATATAGTGCGTGTCAATGTTTGAGCCGATTTGTTTAATGTCAAGGCAATACTTGGGAGAAGGCCCAGTTACTGGCTTACAAGAAGAATGTGGAATGTCACATGCCATGGCTTGGTTCGGGTGAGCCATGGTGAGCCATATGTTCGGGCCCATTGATACACACAGCATTGCACCAGTACACATACCTTGGAGCACCAAGTTCTGTCAACTGTTTCGGTAAGAAGGGCGACAATGCAATCATCCTCAAAGTGTTTGTGTGCAGTAGTTTGTTTTTCTCAATCAACTGCGCCAAAACACAGGGGGCTATCAAAATGGATACTAAAGCCAAGTGACAACTTCAAGATTCCCAAACACACTATTGAGAACTTGCATGAACACCAAAAAGGGTGAGCTGTGGCGGATAGATGCGGCTCTCCACGGTTTGGCAGAGTGGGTACATGTGGGTACCCATGTCTTCACCATGGTCCACAAGCCTTTCACTAAAGACTGTGCACCTTGAGTAGATATGGGCCTGGTGTGTTTGAACAAGGACCCCCATGTCATCACCAATTCAGCCTTGCTGCGTTTTGAGGCAACATGGAGACCTTCAAGCGCCGTCGTGAGACCGAGATCAAGCACGGCCGTGTGGCCATGTATGCCACCATGGGCTGCTTGGCGGAGCGATTGGCTCGCATCTGAAGGTTAAAACATGTTAAAACCTTGAAGAACTCCCTTAGGTCAAAAACCAGGACTGCAGGGCCCCGCCTGTGGACCGATCCAGGCCTTCATGATTTGGGCCCATCTATGGGGGGAAGGTTCATTCACTTTCTCTGATCCAAAGGAGAATGATCAAAAGAACTCCCCAGCCTCTCTCGAGGGACCCTGGTTTCATCTGGTTTCGGTGGAGTTCCGTGACACCAAAATGTCCGCTTCGGAGAGGGTTTGGAGGGCGAAACCTCCGAAGATTTGTCGAATAGACACCTAGCAGCAAATCCTAGCAACAAAGACAATTGTGACCTTTTCCTCGGTTGGAAGAGGCATGAGAGACCCGTGGTCATTATCCCATGCGTTTCTTACACCATGAAGTCTTTGGGCTTTCGATCACCTTGCAGTATCCTGCAGTAGAATATGCATCTCCCTGAATTTTTGGTCTCGCAGATCTCAACTGTCCATCATCATGAACTCACGGAGCACCTTGGAATAACAAGACTGTCTTAGTTTAAGTCTTTGAGGCGGTCACCTGGGCATGTTGCCACAGCATTTACCCGCTGCCTTCTAAGACACCCTCAACTATCTCACCCTGGGGCTATGTCATTCACATTCCAGCCTTGTTCATTTGGGTGGGGAAACTGTGCTATTGGTTTGATGTTCTTCACAAGAAATCATGAAACCAGATAAAGGTGTTCCGCAAATGGAGTGTGTTAGCAACTATAGTTGCGTGCAAAGTCACCCAAAAAAACGCTTGATTACATGGATTTGAATATGTTGACAACATTAAAACATAGTAAACCTTATTTGACAGACAATCGCTAGAAGGAGAAGGTACAGGAATAGTGATAATGATATATATATATATGTGTATGTATACATGATGCGCATAAGATATTTTTGAATATATCGATAGACATATAGACATATATAAATATAGACAGACAGATATAAAGATAGATAGACAGATAGACAGATAGATAGAATAGATAGATAGTTGTCAGTGGGCAGTGGCTTGGCTGCTTGGCTCCATTCATTTTGGACAGGCTAAGCCCATGAAGCTGAGGCTACATCGTCCCTGAGTACTTCAAGTGGCCAGGACCCGCGCACTGATTGTATCCAGCAGATAGCATTTTAATTTAAGCAATGCATGGTTTCTACATGTTTCTATAACAAGCGTACAGGACACCCCCAATATACACGGTCTCGCATGGGTGCACTCAACATGTGAAGGAGGAATCACCAAGTAAAACATGTCTTGCAAAGCCAGGCATCGTAAGCAAACGTGACTCAGGGACAACCCAGCAGCAATCAAAGCGACTGCAACTTAGCAAGAGGACTTCATGTTCAAAGCAGACGCAGGATATCTTTCTCCTTCCCTGGGCTTGAAGTTTGAAGACGTGCCAAACGGCTTGGCGGCCATCGCCAAGGCCACTCGCAGTAGGTGAAGGGGACAGTGGGGGCTTTTCTGCCTTAGCCGGACCAGTTGCTTCACCCAAACACCACTGCAAGATTCTAACAACACCGAAATGCCTTGTTGGACGTTCACAGCGGACTAGTATATTCCCAGCATGACCATTCTTGACAAGCCTCATGCCTGGCACAATGTAGAACACTTAGTATGCTGCACGTCAGCTTTATCAGTGCACTATGTGGGGCATTATGTGCTTGTGATTGACCGCGTCCATGTGTTCGAAAAAGCAAAGTAAGCTGAACTAAACACCCACGTTAATGCATCAATTGGTTTTGTCTACTTGGGATGACTTGGGTCAACTGAACCACTGTCATTTAGCAAACGGGCCCTGTAGGACAGTTGACAGATCTCTTATGTTTTGGTGGACAACACATATTCTGAAGTGGCAGTTAAGAACCATTGCAAGCGAGAGGGGAGAGGGTGAACATGAAAGAACTCTCGAGTGCTATAATATGGATAACACACATCTGAGTGTTGGTCAAACTGCATTCATTCGAGCTGACTCTCAGTAGACAAGCTAGCAGGAGGAGGAAAGCCACAGAAAGATGCGTGTGAGGTTTAGGACAGATTGTTCCTTGTTGTAGAGCCTTCAAATGGGTTTTCATATCATGTCACGGCCCACACCCGTCAAATCATATGGCAGGTTGTCAGAAAGCTTCATCCGCAGAAGCGTACAATACTCTATGTAGATGCCTCTTCTCACAACCACGATGTCCATCAAACGTCTTTTCTGATCCACCGCTATATTATAGTATCTATATATATACATATGTATTCATGTGCCATTGGTCAGGTGCCAGGCAACGGCTGGGCCCAGATTGTGGCCTTCGCTGGCTACTACGAGCTCTTTGTCTACAAGTACAGCGGCACTCCAGGCGGAACCGCGCGGAACCACACAGGTAGGACCGTGTCCACAAACAGGGTTCGCTACGATAGTAACAACTGCATCTAGGAAGCAAATCGATCATGCGAAGGTTTCTTCAAGCGAGCTAATTCTGTCAAAGTCTCTTCAGTCGTGCACATAAGTGGACGACCCCAAGGAAAACACCTACTCGCACACGTTGCAAGGTCCATCCTTCTAGTAGGACGCGCTTCTGGGATATCTTGCCTCAGATTGAACATTGTATATGTAGTTTTCTATATAGATATAGATTGACTTTATATATACATCATACATGCACAATTAGTGATTCTCTATGCTGACGGCAGTGTATGATCTTTTGAGACAACATATTCATTGTTTTCAGCAGAGAAAGAGGTTGATATTCAGGGGGCTAGCGCCCGGCAGCCCTGTGCGTTTGGCCCCGAAGAAACTTCTTCATGGACACAACATGACACTTTTTGGAAACTTGAAGGGACATCAAAGGAACTTGCACGTGCACGCGCGCGCGCGCCACCACAAAGAGAACACATGGACTCCAGTGGCGCGCGCTGTCCCTCAACGTTCGCATCTCGCCTTGGCTGCCACGCAGCAAAAAGGGGTGAGGGTAGTCGAACTCCGGCCAAAGCCTGGGCAATGCTTTTCCCGAGAAAAAAGAATTTAGACAAATGTCATTGAAGCGGGAGTTTTTGGGCAAGTGAATGTCAATGTGACGGCAGCGTGACATCGCCCACCGAAAAAGCTCATCGGCCTATAGACCGGGGTCGGCGGATGTCCTCATCAGCTTGTCGGTTTTCCATCATTTGATGGTCAGCACTGTGCTTTGAGGCTGAAAGTTCTGCGACCGGTTGGTTCGTGTTTCTCAATCAGACTGCACCGGGCCTGGGCAGGTGACTATGGCTGGAAGGCCATCAGCTCTGCGGACGCGGAGACCAAGAAGCGCAAGCTCAGCGCGGAACTCGCCAACGGACGTTTGGCCATGACGCTTGGTGACAAGCCACGCTTTGCGTTTCCCCACTGAGAGCAAGGATTGAACTTGGGCTCGTTTGGACTTTGATATGGTTCAATCCTGCAATGATTGGGATCTCTTTGGGCTAGGCTTTCAAGAGGATTTGGTTCGGTGCTACATTAATTGGTTGATGTTTTTTTGATGTTGTTTGCAGTCTTTTGGGGGATGTGCGGATCAAGTGGATGATTTTTTCCCTGCAGGTTCTGGGTGGTAGACAGTGAACGGAACACCAAAGAAGGACCTTGCTTTGCAAACTGCAGCCAAAACAAATCCTGTGAAAGTTGTTTCGTTTGTTTCCATGAACTACTAACAACTCCCTATAGCTGTTCCACGCTCAATAACAAACTTTGGGCCATCTAATTTGTATAACTGTTTGATGTTTGACAGGGCTAACTGCGGTTCAACATAAATTCACAGTACTGAATATGGCCAGTTGCTATGTGTATTTCAGAAGTCGCGTGTCAAGAACCCTATGAAAGATATCAGAGACGGAGAGTCAAACTCCAACACATGAGATACACATTATTGATACGCCCAAGCCGTTGTAGATTTAAAAGGAATGGAGTTTCCCATCCTTCACTGCTGAATGGTGCTGGACATTGTTCCTTCACTTTGTGCCGTGCATCAACTGCAGTTTACAAAACACCGGCTCACAAAATAGTGGCCAAGACCGCAACTAACACACATATATAATCATATATATATAGACAAACCCAGAACCTCTAGTGGTTTTAGTGATTTGTTTGTTGCGTCATGCTCCCTGCCTCAAGCGCCGAGATCTCAGGATGGCAATCATTGGGATGTTCTTCCAAGATGGCCTTACAGGCACTGCAATCGCCGACCAGCGGTCTTAATCCTCGAAACGATTGTGTCCGCGAGCAGTGGAAGTTGGCCAGCCTCAATCAAATGCTCGACAAAATAGATCAATTGTACGTGTGGTGACTATCCTGCTCAACCTATGGTTTCAAGACGAAATCCTAAACAAACTGAGATAGGGACTGGTCTCCTGTTTCGCCTTTTTCCCGTTCCCAGAGGGTTACGTAGGCGTCTAGGACTCCCGATGTAGGTCAAACCCTTCTGGATCGCATCATGCCGGAAGTTTGTTTCTCCTCGTCGTATTTTGCCATGTCCAGGCTCTGCGTGGGGTGACTGGGCCAACTACACCGACTCCCCGTTGCGCGCCTTTGAGAACGAGACTGGAGTGGCTTGGTCTGAAGCAACTCGCTCAGCTCGTTCGTCTCACGGCCGACGATGTAGACATTGTTGGGACTTTGGACGATGAAGTTCTCTTACCAGGTGTGCTAGGTGGTTTGGGAGGGGTGCAAGAACTACACAAAAACGTCCAACAAGGCATAGAGATTTATTATGATTTTATCTCAGTTTGAATGGGAAAGAGTAGCTTTGGCATGCTTGGATGTGAAAAAAACCTTCGAGGCTTCATTCAGTTTCAAGAAGTGGAAGGGCTTTGTAGATTCTACAGTCCAGCTAACCTTGTGGCGGCCCAACATTTGTTCTAGTTCTTTGATATTTGTTGATGAACCTACCGTCTCTAGAAGACCTGGGAGAGCTGCCTAATTGCAGACTTAAACGCTCTCCAAAACCGTGTCCAGACCGCTCCCGAAACCGTGCCGTTTCAAGACCGACATCTGAAACACCGATTCCTCGACATCTTAGTAGTAAGGCCAGGAGCCCCTAGTAGCGTCCTTGCTCCTAGTAGTAAGGCCAGGAGCCCCTAGTAGCTTCTTGTTCCTAGTAGTAAGAATGCTCCTAGTAGCGATGCCAGGAGCCCCTAGTAGCGTCCTTGCTCCTAGGTGCAGCCACCCGTGGGATTCTGGGACCCCTTGGGTCTCTCCGTGAGCGGCAACCAATCTGCACCTTGACTCAACTTGCAACGCACGTCCGACGCGTGGGGCCGACGCGCGGGAAGGCGATCCAGAAGGGTGTGTTTTTTCCTGAGGTTTTTGAACAAAGACAGCGCCCCGGTATAACTTCAATGGAACTGGGACAAAGTGGGCGTGGAATGCTTTGGAGCAACACTTGGACTTGGCTATTGTTCCGATCCCGGCTGCGAGCCATACGTCTTGGGGGACTGAAGCACAGCATGCTACAGCCAGCCAACAAATCGATGGCCCCAGCTGACAGCCTGTTGAAAGGGGTTGATATGATTTCTTCGATCATGCTTGAGGTAACCCCAGTCGCCAAAGAGCTTTCATATCAAGGTTTGTAGCTTTGATGATTTGTATGCAGTGATACCTGGATCCACTGTCTTAGTCATCACCACCCCAACAACCCCCCGGTGCTCCAGGACTACAAGCGCCGTCGCGAAGTTGAGCTGAAGCATGGACGTGTTGCTTGTTTGCAGTGGTTTGAAGTTCGCAGGGCATTCACCAGAGTAGAATGAAAGCACCTAATTTACAGGAGGTAATATATACCCATACTATCCCATACTACCGTTAAGACTTGCGGATGAGAGTAGACTTCCAGGTTTGGGATGCGGTGAGAACCCAAAAAGAAAGACATGATCTATCAGAGGGTGAGTGAGACTGCTTGATTTGATTGGTTGTGGTCCCAAAGACTGAGCAGAAGAGAACATAGGGCAAATCCTGCAGTCTACATCTTGACTTTGTTGCAAACAGCCATTTCAACACTTTTGCGAAAGCCGGGACTCCCTGATTTGGATAGCCATATGCCATGTGTTTCTTCCTAGCCAATTCGACTCCCGTTGTAAGGAATCGGCTGGGGATGTTTGTAAGGTTCGACTCCCACCTCAACCACCTGAGCTCCGAAACCATAAACAGCCTCTTTAAATATATATATATATTACAGTATATACATCAAGGCTCGAGGGTTCGACAGAGTAAAGCACTGGGCAAACTGTTCCTGTATGTTATGTGTTGTTTCTATATGTTTGGGTGGTGTTAGGGGGTAAACGCAGAAGAACGACCCTGCAGAGTTGTGTTAATGCTTGTTAATATGTTATACTGTTATATATGTTATATATGTTCAGAGTAGACAGCACAGGTCCTGTCAGACTCATAGTAGTAGCTTCATCAACGAAAGCATGCCTGTAAGTTGGGTCCCTTGTTGGTTGAGTTACTCTGCAATCACTGCATGTCAGGTGTTGGTGGGGGGCTTTTCAGAAAGATGATCAAGTCTTGCCAATCTACCACAGGATGACTCTCATTTGTTAGGGTACTGTTCCAAATCCCTTTGTGGGTTGTTGTGAGTTTGTTGGATAGTGATTCCTGATCGGACTTGGATCAACAAATAACTGCTCTCCTTATTTACCAAGACAGTTGGACACCGCTTTGGGATGCTTGGATCCCAATCCAGGCTTGGCTCGAGAGGATTTGAGATAAAAGAACGTACACGGTAGGATTCGATTTGTACATCCGTCAGGTTAGATAGATTCCTCCTTCAACCGTGGGCTTTGGAGAGATGCACCATGATCGCCACCAAAAATCATTGGTTTTCAACTCTCGGATTCGCCTGAGGTTGCCATGTTCGCGACCATTGGTTACATCTTGCCTGAGTACTGGAGGCTTCCTTCCGTCCGCAGGTGTTGGTGCCCGGAGCGGGGCCTTTAAGGCCTAAAAATGCCACGGGTGTCACTCCATTCCATCCTGGACACACCAAAACTGCCGTCTCAGTGGCTCTTCGACTCGGCCAGACAAAAACTCGCACTTCTATGTGAGTGGTCTACTGATCCAGGCTTTGAGAAGGGGTGGCACGACAAGATGCCACCAAAATACAGTGCAATTCCTTTTATGGATATGGTATGGTATGGTAAGGTATATTCATATATATACATATAGAGATATATGTAGTCTGAATTCTAATATGTAATTGCTTCCTGAGAACAGCAAGTATCCGAGTGATGTTGGTACTTGTACAGCAAGGTTGTTGCGAAGGGGCACTTTGCCATGTTGTTCTCATTTCTGAGGGGGATCCTCCTCGTGAACTTTGTTTTGCCGACCACCTCTTTGAGAGTACGTCATGGGTCATAATGGTGTTGTACAATTCCAAGCATGCAGTTGATTTTGTTGGGACACATGCACACTACCAATGTTTTAAGTGTGTTGACATCATTTCGAGGGGCATACCCCCACTAGCTAGCTGTTTTCATACCCCCACTTAGTGAACCAGTGGTGCTTTTCGGTGGTCAAGTGGCCAGGTTCCCCGGATATTTGTCCAAGTTCCTGGACATCAAGTTCGCCGACGTGCCCAACGGCCTAGCGGCCTTCTCCAAGGTGGCTTGGGTGGGAGATGGTGGGAGGCAGTACGTCGCCCCGGATAAAGGATACCTCACAAAGAAGTTTACGCCGAAAGAAACATTCCGCATAAACATCATAAACGAGCTTCTTAATAGTGTTTTTCTTGGGAGTTTCTTGGGTTTTCATGGTTTGGGGCAAAGACGATATCTTACAGTGAGTAGAGACGTCCACTACCCAGTTCTTGAGATTGCTCACTTAGGTATAGTCTAGCAATAGACAAGAATTCTAGTTCAAGGTTTCAACTTGTTTTTCAATCCAGGGGGCCACCATGTACTGGGGCACATTCAGTATCTCTGTAGGGCAATTGGACCTGTTCAGCAGCGAAGTTTCAGTCTCCTTCATGGTTCCAGAGGTAGTTAGTGACCTGCAAAGAACACAACGTGACCCTGGCCACAGCTCTCGACATATATCTGTGGCCACTGATTCTTATGCTCAAAATTTGGACGTAGGAGGAACAGACCTGTATCTCCAACATCCCTGTGCATCATTTGTGAATTAGTGAGGCCTGTTCAATGCATCATATATACCTTCTATTTACGCTGGTCCCACATGGATGCTAAGTTGAGGAAAGGACGCAAGGAACGATACGCTGCTAACTCTTGCTATCCATCTCAACGATAAGGTTGTCAACGGTTGTCATTTCATTGTTTGTTGTTTCCCGAGCGCTGTTGATCTCTCGTTTCAATTTGTTGGTTCGTGTCCAAAATGCATTCCTTTTGGGTTTTGTGGGGTATTTGCTTTGGGCGATGCGCCTACCAGGACACCACCGCTCCGTCGCTCCGTGGCTTCAGGTGCCTGCGCTGGGCTGGCTGCAGATTGTGGGCTTTGCCGGTATCGTAGAGCTCAACGTCACTTGGCGTCAGGCGATCGGGGCATCAAAAGGGCATCAAGCCAGGATCTGAGACTCGTGTTACGGAAGATTCAGTGTATTTTTGTCAGGATAAATGTGTGGTTTGGCAGAGTGTAGCCTGGATTTGCACGTTTTTGGATTGATACCTACCCACAACAACTCATGACCAGAAGTCAGTGTTTGAGTCGTTTTCTGTATGAGGGTCAGACTGTTGGTGTTCCTGATATGAAAGAATTGCGTTGCAGCCGTTGCAGCGCCAGTGGCTGTGTTGCTGCTGCAACACCCAGAAACTGCATGACGGGTGTGGTGCCGCAGAAGGGCCAATTGGTGTTTTGGTTTTGCTTCTTGTTCCTAAAGTTAAATTAGCTACTAGTAGTAATGCCCTTTGTTACTAGTAGCTTCTTGCTACTAGTAGCGATATCAGGAGCTACTAAGTAGCCTCCGAACGCTCCTAGTAGTAATGCCCTTAGTTACAAACTTCATGCGTCCGGATAATCGGATAGCCAACTGATCGGTGGAACAGAGGAATGCAAGATTTGGAGGGCATCCAGTCGCCCAGTCCCATCGCGTGTTACTGTGCTGATGGCCAACCCGGCAAGTACTGCTTGGCCAGATGGCAGCATATACATACATGCATATATACAGCTTCAGTACATTGCTGGCCCGACAGTGAGCTTCCAAAACCATGAAAGCTCCGCTCAGCGGGACACTCCTCGAGGTGTACAACGAGGAGGTCAATGGCGAGCCAGGGAACTATGGCTCTGGCTTCCTCGGACTCCGGCAACCAGGTAGCAGATGAGCATGCCTTCCGAAAGGGCGACATTGTTTTGTTTTAATTTTAGATAGGGATGACTCCGGGATGACCGGGTGTGGCAAGAAAACTGCTTCAGTGGCATTGAAACTGGTCTCACATGTTTGGACAATCTGAAATTCGTCCCATAAGATCCCACAAGTGTTTGACAGGTCTTCCTTCCACAAGTGGTCGGCTTCACATCACTGCAAGACGTTCCAGCGGTACTTCCCCAAGCAATCATGATTTTGTGGAACATAAGTTGATCCCAAACCAAGCATATCCCATGTATGACCCACTTGCATGATTGCTGGATGCATACAAAATTTATGGACTGCAACTATATAACCGGTCGTCTACTTATTGGTCCCACCAGCGATCACAGAGAAAGCTTGTGGCTTAGAGGCTTAGAGAAGTTACCAATTAAACCTGAACCATGCCCAATGCTCTAACCTTAGCGACTGGGAGTATTACTCCCCCACAGTGGGTCCTATGATGTTCTGTGCATTTCATCTCCGACTAACATGAAAGTGGACAATGGATCATTTGGAAGATGATCGTCTTCTATATGTAGTCCTACGTTTCTACATTCATGTTCGTGAATTGGAGTGTAATCTGGAAGAAATGGGTTTGCCAACTGCATTCCAATCTTCAGAATCACATCTTCACTTGGCTCCTCCTTTCGTGCGGAGAAAGTCGTCGCCTTCAAGGTCCGTGGGCGTGATGAACTCGGGCATCTCTGACCCGGAGATCCGCAAGAAGAAGCTCAACGCTGAGCTGCTTGGATGGCATTGGCCTTTGAACAAGCGGAACTTTTGGGAACCCTTCAACTGGCTTTGGTATTTGCAGTGTGCAGACGTTGGGAGTTTATTTGGATGGGTGAAGTGGTAAAGTGGTCATGTATGGAAAGGTTTTGATATGACTAAGTGACTACGTGTTATGTGACAATGTGTGTGTATATAATTAATATATGATCAACATATCGTATTATTCATATTATATAATATATGTCCTTGGCATTGTTTTCTAGAAAAGGAACCAACATTCAAGGTGTGGCTGGGGTATATTGGGGTGAGGTACACAGGGTTTGTCAATAGAGTGACTTTGCACGATTATAGAAGATGTCTTGTCGTTTGCCTTCAAGTGGAATGACATCATCAGACAATCCAGAACAATGATTGCTGCAAATTGTACTACTCCTTTCGGACCAAATCCCTTTTGAGAACAACCACCAAAAAAAATGTGATCCCTATGGGGGCAAAACTCAGAGACAGTCAATGTCATTCTTTGGATAAAGCTGTCCTTCCCCAATAAGGAACCCAAGCATATTCAATCAAAGCGCTGGTAGAGTAATGGAAATGAAATCGCCTGGTGGTGGATGGCACTGGAAGCTTGAATGCTCCCTAGGTTGGCCAACGGACGCCTGGCAATGATGGCCATCATCGGCATGTTCTTCCAGGCACTTGAAAGGAACATGGGGCCAGCTGTGA